TCTTCTTCATTTTTGTGTGTTAATTGAAGCAATAAATTGCACTCTTTTGACCAAAATATTCTCTTTTTTGTGTTTTAATTTTTGTAGCCTGTATGTTTATATTCTCTACATATATTCAAGAAGCCAATGGAAATTTCCCTTTCTTAGATGGATTCTCTGTGTAAATTTACGGGCAAAAAATCTCAACGGCCACTAAATTGTTAGTCAGATCAAATTTTGACCATCAAATAATTTTCATCACAAATTGGCCACTCAACTAACTAATCAATACACCCGTGACCATTGCGTCGATTAATGCTCTTAATCTGTGAAATAAGCAGAACATGCAGCAAAGTGTAGGAGTAATTTCATTTACCACTTACACGATTAAGAGCAAAACTATACCACGTGTGTTCTGCTTATTTCATAGATTAAGAGTATTAATTGATGCAATGGTCATGGGTGTACTGATTAATTAGTTTAATGGTCAACCTGTGATAAAAAATTGTTTGATGGTTATAACTTGAGCTGATAAATGGTTTAGTGGCTGTCAAGCGTTTTTGCTCTAAATTTAAATAAACATTACTGTAACATATGAAGTTGTCATTATGGTCAAATAAAAGGTGACTTTGGAGCCTCCTTTGAATTGAAAAAAAAAAAAAATGAACTCAAATGAGGGATGGATTTAACATTCAATAGCATGCAGTGGAACAAATGTTAAATTCGTGAGGTGATTCATACTAAATCATGATTCAGCCCCCAAGTTGACTTAGAAAAGTGTTGATTAGACTTCCATTCTTGCCGTCCCACCTTGATCACACTCGCTTGCTTTGTTTGAAATCCTGTCCACACCCAAGAAAAATGTGTCTATACCTATTTTTCTTTGAAAGTCTTGTAGCTTAATTTGAAACGTAGTCTATAAAATTCTCTCAATCGATACTTAGTTGTATCGTTTAGAATTTTAAATATTTGTTAAAATATCTAAAATGGAGAGGTGAAAATACCTAAAGTATAATTAATGCTAAGAAGATGGGGTAATGATATACAATTAGAAAAAAAAAAAAATAGTGACTGAGATTGGTCTCAAAGTCAGAGAGTCTATCACATTATTCTTATTTTCCTTCTTGATAAAACATAGTAAGTTCATAATTTTTTATCACCAGCAATAACTTAAATAAGGACAGTATCAGAAAAAAAAAAAAACAATTTTTTTGTCTGCCAAGGAGAATTGCATGACAATGTACGTGGTCTGTCGTTATATTGCCTTATTCTGGGAAAATCACCAACGTAAAGGAGCCATTTCTTTCTTTCTTTCTTTCTTTCTTCAATACTGGCATGGTGGGGTGAGAAGAGCAAGAAACAACATAGATAACATTTTACAGGACAAAATTAGTATGACAAGAAACCCATATGTTAAACTGATGCTGAAGTATGACAGACAAAATTAGTTTAATTTGTTTTTTATTGAATAATAATAATAATAGGGATCTACTGCTATCATAGTCCAGCTAGTAGTCCCTATGAGGATGATACTGCTAAAAAAAAAATTAGATAGCCCTCTTTGGCGGGTCCTCTTTAAACTTCCTTTTCATCTGATGTTTCCTGGTGTTTTCTATTCACCCAATTTAGCTTGAAAATAATAATAATTAAAAAAAAAATTTGATCCTGTAACTTGTGTTCAACTAGGACAACGCCACAACTATGGAAAAAGTCTGCACAAAGCATCTATTTGTGCATTGGCATATAACAATAGTACCACTTATTTAAGGTCAAAACACTTCTGCCTGCCTACTGGAATACCCTTACAACTATTCCATGTAGCTTATCTGTGTTTGGATTGTATTTTTTATGATTTTTCATGAAAAAATTACTGTAACGATTTAATGTATGTGAGAAAAAAAGCTAATAGAAAAATGTGATTACGAAAAATAACGTAATTTTTCGACGAAAAACTGCAATCCAAACAAGGCCTTTGCAAGACTGAATTTGCAATAGGCCAATGTTAACAATCAAAGGAAGAGCAAGAAACACCTCACCATAGATAACATTACAGGACAAATTAATCATACTTCGTATAATCTTCATACAGATGCTTGCTTATAAAATCTCACGCTTACATCAACATCCGTACGTTGTATTGCTCCATGACCTGGTGTCTTGTCATCATGTTGAAAAAAGTCATTCTCAACGAAAAATCAATATAATGCCTTAACTTGCACAACCCCAACCTTCTACTTTCAAATCAATGTCCAAGTCGTCTTTAGAGAGTGGAATATGTTTTTTTTTTATACATAAAGTCCTGGTTAGCTAGTAGCAATATTTGAATTATAATACAGAAATTGGTCAAGATTCTGGTATTTTCCGATGTCACTTACTGGGATGAAGCTCCCTCGTCGCTTCCACGAAGAAGAAGAACTTGGAGGTGGCGGCACCCTTTTCCAAGTTTTAATAGCAAATTCCAATTGCTTCCAATTTACCACCCACGTGTTTGAATGGGGCACTTCCATAATTCCATGCCGTTCTTCCACAGTCAAATATGGCCTCTCCATTTCCGTATTATTTTTCCTCTAACTTCCTCTTAACGTTCCACAACTTCTACAGTTTATCTGCTTAGTCCCCAAGATTCCTTGCTCTATATATATGCATGTTCGTGTTGCTCTCTATCGCAGACTGTATTATCCCTTCATTCTCCTCTCCAAGCAAAACTAGCAGCTGCTCTCTCGCAAATTTACACCATCATTGCCCATATTGTAATTGCCACAGTATTATTAATTTTTCTGAGATTTAAAAGTCATGACAAATTCCAGGTTTTTTGGGATTTTCTTTCTTCTTCTTCTGAACTCAGTTTTTATGAGCATTGAAGCTCGTCCCATGAAGGCTCAAACCACTGTTGATGTAGGAATAACGACTAAAATCGGTGATTTGTACGTCGAAGCTATCAAGACTGGAGGCCCGAGTGATGGAAAAGGACACCAGTTTACCGAAGGACATTCTCTGGAGGCGATCAAGGAGTCGGGGCCTAGTCCTGGTGAAGGCCACTAGCTATAGCAAGAATCAAGATTATCATCATGCTAACGTTTGAGTTTTGCATTCTTTCATTCTTAGTACTTGTAAGCATTCCTTTATTTGTTCATGTATTCATTTTTTGTTGCCGTTTCTTGGAGCTGCAAAGCAGTAGTATTCAGCAGATTAATTGATTCACTTGCTTGCCTGCCTGCGCAGCCCATGTGAAGTTGTGAACCCCTTTTCTTTTCCCCTGCACAGCACCGTGTTTTCCCATTCCACTTTTAACACTAATGCCACGCAATATTACCAAATACCGCAAAAAAAAAATTAAAAAAAAATTAAGGAGTACATATATAAGATGGTATTAGTACCAAGAATATTGCAAGGGAGAAGTGATCACCACTAATCTACTATTCTTGCACCAAAAAAAAAGAAGACTAATCCACTAAGGGATGGGATGAAATGTGTTAGTGGTATTTTGACCATCAAGAATACTTTCTATGAAGGTGGGGATGCCGGCTGAGTTCAATTCTTCTCCTGAGACCATGTAGACTGTAGAGTGTAGACTTGACCAGTAATTGCCTCCATACAATTGAAGTTTGCGTTTAATATTCCACATGGAAGAAAAAGCTTCCATTAATCAAAGAAAGTGTTATTTAAACTTGATTTTAGAGCATAATACCACGATCGAAACTCAATTAGGAATTGTATGTATGTTTCTTAATGCTAGTATATTGAAAAGGGTACAGCAAATTTTTTACCAAAAGAAAGTACCGCAGGTTTCATTCGGCAGCTTATAACGTAAAGAATGTTTTAACTCTAGTGCTCTTCCAAATACATTGATGAAGAAATCCCAACAATTTTGTATTGCTAGTTGAAGTTAGTTGAATTGCTTCATTTATAAAGGTAAAGGAAAATGAATAAGAAAAGGGCGTTGTCTCTCGTTTTTCAAGCCAGATTAATTGAAAAGCGAAAAAAATAAAAAGGAAAGAAAAAAAAAAAGATTGGCCAATTTCATCTGCATTTAATGTTTCCATGCATGACAACGTCAATTGTTCATTCTCAAAATAAATTTGAAAATGTTATGAGAAATCTAAAACATATAAAAGTATTGCAGATCCCATGGATTGGATCCACAAAGAAATTCCAATTGTCTTTATGATCAACTGCTCATTCAGCTCCAATCCCGAAATTCACCCATCACATCACCCAAACTTTGGGACTAGAAAATTTCCCTACACGTTTCTTGAGCAGCACAAGATCTTGTCCGTCATCATGGTTATTAATCGTCTAGATGATGCGTAGAAAATTATTTTTGTCATCAATAAATTAGCAACTTATTTTTTTTTTATCGCAACGATAGAATTCCTATAATCTAATCTAGTCTTATATAGAGGGAGGAAAAGGGGGACTCGATGTGAGTAGAAACTCCATCGAAAATGACCAATTAAAACCGCCACATATAGTGATAAATTGGTGGGAGGCAAGGGTTGACCTCCCACACCAACGAGACTTAAGTCTTGGGTGGTGGTCACCAGACCAAAGGCCTAGTGACAACTTACTTGGATTGCAAATTTTGTGGCATAAACTTTTGGAGTTTTTGAGAATTATTCTTTTAATACATTTCGAAATCACTTTTTACTTTATATGCATCTCATCTCAAAAAGGTTATAGACTACAAGTGTTAATTTTCTCCAATAAATAAATATATATATATTAATACCATAATATCTATTATGACAGTTAGGTCAGCCATTAGAATTTGGAAGCATAATCTATAACCATCATTTTTAATATGTAGCATGTTTTCCCCCCCCCCCCCCTTCTTTGAGGGGCTAAAATTGCTTGATGCCAAGTTCAGCTTAAAGTTTTTGAACCAATTTCGAACTCTAAAAGAAAAAAAAGAGTAAAAGATAAAAAGATAGCCCATTATTTGGAAATAAAAGTTTTTATCCTTATAAACACTTTTTTTTCCCAAGATTATTTTTAATTTTCACACATCCTTTTAATCTCACACTACTACTATTCTGTCAAAGCTCCTCATCACCTGGACACTGTTGCAGCAACAACGCTGAAGCCCAAGCCACAGCCACTGCCACCGCTACCACCACCACTGCCTGGCTTAAAACGCACCCAAAAACACAAAAAGTGGATTATGCATTTCAACCTGAACATTGGGTTTTGAGCAAGAATTCTTCCTCTTGATCTTTTGCTGCTTTTATAATCATGAGAGGCTCAGAAAACGTGGCTGCGGAAGATTCCACCACCATATCAGATGATGGCGGAGCCACCACCGTCACCTATAACGACATTGAAGACAGCAAAGAAGACGAAAAAGCCGTGGACTTGCCACCCAACCCGGCCCAACACCCGCCCACGCAGCCGCAGGCCAGTCCCTACCAAGAAGGAGAACTAGTCCTTGCTTATCATAACCAACGTGTCTACCCTGCCAAGGTTGTCAAAATTCAATCTTTCGTCCTACCCTTTACTACTATCATCCAACTTAAACTGGTTTCTTTTTCTTTTTTGGTTCATTTTTCGATTTTTTTTGGAGCCGGGGGGGGGGGGGGGTTGTTAGGGATTTTGTCTGCGTCAAGGCGTGATCATTTTCTTGTTCTGAAATGTTTAAATTGATAAAATTTCTTTGAAAGCATTGTAAAGTAGGATGAATTAAATTAAATTTGTTATGGATATGTAGCTTAAAGCAATGGTATTGACTTGATAATAGTTGAGAATTCAGAAGAAAAATGTCAGCTTTTCCTTTGTTGCATAAAAAGTTAATTACATTAGCAACTCAAATTATCAGGAAGAATTTAGCTATGGATCAAAGGCCTCACCAATGACTAGACATAGTTGTATTAATGCAAGGACAGACTTGGACAAATATACACAGTCAAACAACCACAAACTCGCAACTGTAAATTTACAACCATTTAAATTGTTCAAGATCACTTGGCATCTGGAGTGCTCAGAAAATGTATCTCTATACTGGAGGCTTAGTTCCACTTTCTTCAGAAACCAGAGTTCTGTAGTAGTAGAAGTATCTCTGAAGAAGAAGAAGAAGAAGAAGAAAGAAGAACTATAGGTGTAGACAGATTGAACTTTCTTTCTGTCAATAACTCTTGACCAATCAAAAATTTGATATGCTATAAAAGCCGTATACATACCCCAGTTTTGATGGATAGGAACGTTCTTTTTCGTTCAGATAATTTTTGGAATTCTACTTACATGCAAGTGCTTCACATTTGTGTTCTGTATTTTCTGTCCAGATAATGAAGGTTGATCTCGTACTGAATGAATGGAGGTATTCAGTGCATTATCCCGTAAGTTCTACTTTCCTTACTCCATGTTCTATATATTGTCAAGTCACTTCACTGCTGCTGCTTCACTTATTTACATGGTTTATCAATAATTTTTTATAATATGCAAATGTTTGATTTAAGTCATAGTTTACTTTGACTAGTTCCTTATGGTATGCTTTTTTTTTTCCTGCAGGGCTGGAAAAAAAGGTGAGTTCAGAATTTGGTATGCAATCTCAATTAAATGTCCCATGGACACTTATTGAATTTATAATTGAGGATCTTTGTCTAATTCTTCTTTTTCATTTTTCTGGTTTTGGTAACCTCTTTTATTGTTCTTTTATCTTTTAAGACAATTCATTATTCTTGAAGTTAATGGATTCTTTTTCTATCAGATGATCCAACAATGATGTATAGTTTGCTTTGAATCTGCATAATCAACCGTTTTAGGAAAGATACGTTGATCTACAATAAGTGATCTCACATAGAGTGCAAATTTATGCTATTCAGAAGGCAGAGTTCACCTTTGGCAAATTAAAATTCATGAAAAGGATAGGGCTTAACAAAAAAATGTGACAGAGTTACATGGAAAACTAAAGATCTAGTGGACCATGTATAAAAGTTGGATTGGGAAGTCTCAGTCCAAAAGAGATGTACCACAATAGTAAGCATTTCAACTTAAAGAGATGTACCACAACGTGAAGCATTTGAACTTGCAGGCAACATTTAATACCCTTGAAGGCCATCCTATTCCTGTAAGTTCAAAGGCCCAACAAAATTACCAGAGTTATGACATTCAAAGCCTTATCTTGATATTGTCTTCTGCCCATGCCTTTCCAATTATTACAAGATAATTAGTAGTTCATAGCAGCCCAAACATAGGTCGAGCAATGTGAGAACTGTATACCTAGAATCGTATAAGACTTAATAGTGTGTGATATAATGCTCTAATTCTTCTCCACTCGCCTAGTATAAGAGAATCTTCACTTTGGCAAATCGAATTATTCATTATAGAGATTTTGTAATCTTGTTGTGGCTGGTAACACTCAATCCTTTCACGAAAAACTTCCCCTTTTTTCAATATAGTCTATACTGCAGAGTATCATAAGTAGAGCGTTTGTCTTTTATTAATAGACTGAATTAGGAAGTTATTAATTATTAAGATGCTTTCATAGCCCGAATTCTCAAATTTTCACACTCATTCTCATCCCATTCTTACTCACCTCACCATTTGACTGTTTAAATAAGGACAGAAACCTCTTTGGGAAAAGAGTGTGTTCTAAGAGTACTGGTGTAGTAATTGGGCATGCTGATTGCGATTTTGTGAGAAGTTCAATTTCGATTTCATTTTTTACAGTTGGGATGAAGTGGTAGGCATGGATCGCTTGATGAAATACACTGAAGAGAATCGACAAAAACAGCAGGAACACAACAAAAAGCAAGAAATGGAGAGCAATGCCAAGCCGGGGAGCAAACAGAAAATTTTGACTGGTTAGATTAGTTTTGCATTTCCATTATAGCTTTTGGTTCCTTTTTTGTTTTACTGACTGTTTTCCTCTCAAAAATTGTGTGATGGAATGTGGCTGGAGTTAAACTATAGTAGTAATCGGTAAAATGAAACTCATGAATTTAAATTTCTTTTGACGGAGACTGCTTTTTTGTTGTTATTATTTATGGACTTCAGTTAGAAGAGTCTTGAGTTGACATTTGCAATATGTGGATGGATTAAGTTCTTTGTTATGGGTTGAAAGGATGGTTTATTGAACTGTCTGAGTTGACTTGGTTAAGGCTGCTGCACTTATCACAACAATTCCAATTTATGGCTTCTTATTCTTCCTGCTTGCAAGTATATATTAAAACAATAAATTGGAATACCGCCATTTTGAGACCATGAAGTCAAATTAAGTTTTTCAGGCTCCAATATATGCTCGGGGGAAAAAAAAGGAAATAGATTGCTTGAAGACCATTTTGGTTTTTAGCATTTGTGAAAGATTAGTATCTAATGATGGAATTGTAGGCTATTCTGGTTTGAACACTGCAGGTGCAAGAGGCAAGAAGCGAAGAAGTGGATCAGTTCAAAAGGTAAATGTTTGGGTTATGTCATTTTTCTTTACCACAGTGATTTGGAACTTGAATTGTAATGTTTTTATTAATTATTGCCTCTCTCTCTCTCTCTCGCATGCACACTCAAAACTGGAAAATTAAAGGGTACTATGAAAGCTTTGGTGTCCTTTTGATAATTTACTTCTTGCCTAGGTTGCTATTTAGTTGTGTTTCTTGCATTTATGATTCTTTGCCTTATTCTTTTTCCTCTTTTCCCTCTGTTGCAATTGGGTATAGGATGTCAGGCTCCTTATACTGGATTCTTTGGGTCAATATGTAGCAGCTTTTGCTATTAGCTTAATTGAGTGGATAATGTTCTAGAGTCTCTCCTCCCTGTAGACTCACTGTGGTGCCTTTGTTTTTGGGGAAGGAGAAAAATCTGTATCAATCCAACTGAAACTGAATGCATTATGTCGGAATAGCATTAAGTTCTCATGTGGAAATTATAAAGTATAGCATATTCATTTTCTTTGCATACTTAGCGTACACCAGGAAAGCAAGGGATTTAAAATGTTCTGGCTATCTCTTTAGATATAAAGTAACCTGTATGGTGTGTTCTTTATTTTTTTCGGTTACTTTTAATGACCAATATGAAATTTCAAATCTCTCTTAATATAATGGTCAGTCAAACTTGATCATTCAATATGCAGCATGGGGAGCATGATACCTCAATTACTGAAGAATAAAGGTTAGAAACTCAATTACTTGGAACATGGGATGATGGGTTATATTATGTGCCAAGGCAGGATGTGAACTCTTTACTTCCCTGTGTAACCTTCTCTTTTCTTGACAATTTTGCCATTTGTTCATCATGTTGAAATTAGAGTACTAAATATTTGAGAATTCAGTCAGATCAAGAATGTGATCTCGAGTGGTGGACATCTCTATCACTTAAGTTGGCAGCAGAGAACATTTTACTGCTTAGAGAAAGAACATACATGAACTCTTGAGATTTCAGCTGTGTATGCTTATTTTCCCTTTGGTAATGGGAGTCTCTTTTTGACTTTTGCTGTACCATTGTGGTTTTGCTCCTCAGTCTGGGAGGTAATAGGCAATTTAGTGAACTGATTTAGGTCTGGATAAGAGATACAAGGCAAATTTCATTTTTCTGATTATGTCGAAGCTATTTGCTTTTCCAATTAGAATTAAACATCTCCTAGGGACTCAGAAAACTTGACAGCAGATATAAGATAGTGAATTGCATATGGAGTTTATTTTGTCTGGTGTTACCAGCTATGCAGCTTGATTGCTCACCCCTGGTTCTCAAAATTTTGTGCCATAAATTGTTTTTATATCTGTAATATGGAGTTGTCTTAATGAGTTCACTTCAGTTGGATTTAGCGGGTTGTTTTTCTCTAGGAGAAAGCAATGCTTTTGACCGAAAAGCGGGTGAATATCTATATTCCACCTGGATTAAAGAAACTGCTTGTTCATGATTGGGAATGTGTTACACACTTGGGCAAGGTAATTATTTCTTCCTCTATGATAATTTCCTAGTTAGCTTCTTGATATAGTATTATGCTTGTTTTGTTCTTATACATTGTCTGCAAGTAATTCTCAGTTGCTGATTTCTTCACTGTTTGTTGATTGATTTCTTCACTGTAAACCTACTAGCATCAAGCTTAACTTGTCAAACTAACTTTTTCTATACAACGTGCCATAGTTATGTTTGTTTCTATGTGTTACACAACTAGTGAATTGCCAAAATATCTTTTTGTCATTAATGTTCAGTTATGGATGTCAGACTTTGGTAAAACGCCGCCAAAGGCTGTACTGATGATCCCCTTGGTACTTACATTATATTAAGATGCTCATTAAAGTGGAAAATTGCCCACGGTGCTTGGTTTTTGGTTTAGATTGACTTGGAGAGACAAAGATCACAGAAATAACATGGCTGTCTGAGATCTTTCTTAATCAAAAACTGAAATAGAAAATCCTGACAAGCTAGCAGCGTTACTGCTTTATCTTCATTGGTGAATAAAACTATCTGCTAAGTCATCTTTTTCTCTTTCCATCTTCATATTGAAATCAAGATGACTAAAATCTTTATATTGCTAGTGATGCCACTTCTCAGATGGTTGCTGGCTTTAGGTTTTACATGTATATATCTTTACAGTAATAATGCTTCCGTTTCATGCAAGTACATTTATGCTGGGATGTTCCATCCTTTGAACTTGAACTTCAGTACTATGTAGCTTAAAGTGTATATGGAATCATTGTTCGTGGTTTTGATTCCTTAAATATGTAAGGTACAGAGATATTGGGCTCTAGAGTGATAAAAAACTTTATCCATCTTCTCTTCCAGTTCTTGCATTTGGTGTCTTATATTACTTTAAGAGACATAAGGCTTTTCAGATGATAATTTTTTCCTAATTTTCCTGAAAATATGCAATGAATGTCATATCCAATGTTAATTTTTGTGTCTAATAAAGTGGTACTTCTGAAGCTATTTATGCAATATATTAAATGAACTTTTTGTTTTCTCATGTATTTCAACTTGTCTTTGCTGTACATCGACTCTTGTAGCTAGTCAAACTTCCTAGCTCTCCAAATGTTGATGAAGTCTTGAGCAAGTATTATGATTACCGGCTCAAGAAGGACGATGGGTAAGTCCTCGTGTTTTTTAACCTTGTTATTTGCTTGCTGCTTGTTCCTATCTCTTTTTTTAATCTGAAATCTCAACTTTAGATACTGATGCTTATAGAATGTCCTTTTCTGAATTTCCTGAAGTTTTATTCTATTGGAAGCTACAATTGAGGAAGTTTGTTAAGTTTTTATCAAAATCCTTTTATGAACTGATGGTGAAAGAGATCTAGACTGCTTGGACATTCTCTTTTGCGCTACTGAGGTGCAACTAGCCTATCATACATATCGATCTAGATGACATTGACAGCCTTGGGGTTGGAACTTTGACTGGATTATTTGTTTGCTTGGTACTATGGTAAATCATGACTCATAATGTGCACCAGGGTATACATGGTGGTTAGACTATTCTTCAGGAGCGAATGTCAATGCAAGATATGGTATAAGTAAGGAATCAATAAAAGGGTTTGTACAAAAGGCAGATGTCTGGATTTCTCTTTAGAAGTTGGTCCCAAGTTACTCGAGGTGTCTGTTTCTGTATTGATATTGTACAGTTCTGAATTTTTTAGTTCAGTACTTTTTGCATGTACGACTCAGTAACTGTTTAGTTAGAAATGGAAAGGAAGAGCTGATATCCATCTGGAGAGAGAATGTTGGATGATTTTAGTTGTGGAGCATGTTAAGTCAAACACAAAGATAAGCATACTTCCATTGTGAATCTTTCTTTGTTCAACCTGCTTTAGCATTTTCTCCTATCTGGTCTCTTGTAGCAAAACTTCGTCAAATTTTTAGTGATGGAAAAGTTTTGCTTTTCTTTCATTGATGAGTATCACTGACTATATTCTTTTGATTATTTTGCATTGCTTTTAGGGATGGATGCAGGTTAGCTGGTTCTGTTGGAGAAGTAGTCAATGGTTTGCGTCGCTACTTCGATAAAGCTTTGCCTGCAATGCTGCTTTACAAGAATGAGCGGCAGCAATATGAAGAAGCAATAACAGATAATATTGCCCCTTCAGCTGTATATGGAGCTGAACATTTGTTGAGGCTATTTGGTATGCTTGTACTTCGTGCTGAAACCTAAGTACCTTTTTTTTCCGAATTTGTCTGCTGAGAATCAACAGTAAGTACCACTGTACCACAGCAAAAATGTTGTGTTGCAGTCTATGGAAAATTGGACTGCAAAGGAGGATTAATAAATCTATACAGAATTGCTTTGAAATGTAATGTATAGTTTATGATTGTATATGGTCATTGAGTTCTGGACTTGAGTGTGATTCATCAAATTCAGAGAGAGAAATGCCTGAAATTGCTATCAACTAATCTTTTATGCTTTAGAACTAGCAATTGTATTTTTCAGTCAATGCTTTTAAGCTCATTTGGAATATGTTAATATTCAAATTCTGTGAAATTCCAAATTGAGTTGCTGTAATTCTGATAAGCAACAATGTTTGTTTCTACCTGATTATGGTCATTTTGTGAAGCTGCTTGAGTAATTGTTCGCAGACCAAAAAATTGATTACAATAATTTAAAAAAAAAAAAAAAACTGTATATATGTCTGACTTGATTGTAAATTTTTATGCTGTTATTTCTTCCAGGTCTTTTTGTTGTGAATTCATTTTTGTTTTAATAACCGAAGTTTATCGGAAAACAGTTTCTCAAGTTTAACTTTTTTTTGGGTTACACTGACAATGTTTATAAATCTGGTATATATGTTTTGGTAAACTCATCAATATACAGGGATGAGACAGGATAGGGAGTCTTTGCTGGTTCTCCTACTATATGCACATGCCTGGTATCAACTGCTAGGTCTAAACCTCTAGGTTCATAAGCTTATGTCTTGCTGCTCATTGTTTTAGGGATACGATTAGATGTCTTTGCTGCTGGAGTGATTCTTTCTCTACCTAATCAATTTTGTTGTTCTCTGCAGTTAAATTGCCTGATATATTAGACAGTGCTGATATTGAGGACACAATGCTATTAGAGTTGCAAGAATACTTGGTGGACTTTCTCAAGTATAAAATCTTTCTGCGCTCTCGTTTGTTTTTACAGCATAATTCCCTTTTCACCTATTTTTTAGGATGGCATCAGAGGAGTAGGATATAAACATAATTCTGATTTTCTTTGGCGACAACGTGCTTCTCTTATTTCACACATGGTTTTCTTCTCCTAAATGTGGTATTTGGAGTGCAGGTTCCTTCAGAAGAACCAAAGTAGTTTTTTTGCTGCTGCTCAGCAATCCACAGAAATCTCTGATTTAACCATTAAGAAACAAGAGGACTGAGTTGGAACTTTGGTATGATTGTCTGCGTGTACATATAAATATAGGCTATGTGGCTGAAGATGAAATTTTTGGGATCATTTGCAGTTCTTTTTAGCTGCTTTCTTCAACTTCTGGCACCTGATATACCTCCTATTCTTCTTGGATGTTTGTACGAGTTAGTTACTGATATGAGCAGTTACATACTGTTTGCCAAAAATGCATGTTTATTCAACTCGAGACTCCTTGGTTTAATTTTCATTTTCTGCTGATTGCTGTACTTCGTTGTCTCAGTTTATGCGACAACTGATACAGGTATATGATAACTGAAACTTTTTGTCAGTTTGAAGTAAATGCAAAATGCAGTACTACTGGATGAGATATCAGTTGACGAATTAGAGACATCTCTAGCTCATAGCTCTTCACTGAACTTGCTCTAATTGCTAGACTATCAAACTAATCTTGGTGCCGCAGGCTAAGAGGACCTAATTAGCCAGCTCCAATTTTTCCATTTTCAGCTAATTTTAAATCAATTTTTGGACAAGCTTCCGGCTTTGAATTGGAATACTTCATTTGACTACACTTTATCAGCACTTTCCAAGAAGATGGCGGGGTGGCAAGCACTGTTTTATTTGAGGAAAAGTCTTTAATTTACCGTAGCTCCCGTTTCTGTGATGTGAATTTGGAAAAATCCACTTTTTTTTTTTTCTTTTTCTTTTTGGGGGATCTAATGGGAGGGCTAAGGCTCTATTACATAGAGATTAGTCTAGGCGTAGCAACGCCCATAACATCCCTAGCTAGCAGGTTCCTCAAGTCATCCGGTGGAGCATCGAGAAACTTTCCTCCTGGGTCTGAATTTAGACTTTCCTTGGCTAAGATGTTTGCACATTGATTTCCTTCTCTCCATTGGTGCTGGTGCTTTGCGGTCCCATTGTCGGTCCAAGAACCTCCTAATCTGCTTTAGCTGAGTATGATGCGTTACTATCGCGGGGCATGGTAGCTCCAAACTTACTCTGGAATCCGTCTCCATTATGCACATTGGAACATATACTTGAATGACCACAAGTTTCCTTCAGTTGAATTGAATGACAAGAAAGATCTACTGCATACGTCCTTGTATGCGTCCCACATAAGGCTAAAATTAACTCGAGCTCAAGCCGAGCATTAGTATATACGAGTCAAACTCGAGTAGCTATTTGTTAGGCTCAATTGCTCGATGAGCTGCTCGAAAAGTTTGAGTTGATATGAAATTATAAGAATATTCTTACATCAATTAAAATTGAGTTGACTTCAAACTTTTCACGAGTCAGAATGTCGAGCGAAACTTGAACTGACATCTCGAACTGCTTGCGAGCTAGAAATTGTGCCAAGCTCGCTAGGCAGAAATGAATTGAGTTCAAACTTTTCTTTTTCTAAGCTGAGTCGAGTTCGAGCTTCATTTTTTTGGCTCAACAAGCTCGAACTCGCACATTAACAAGTGTAGCTCGACTCGATAAGTTTAAAATTCAACTCGACTCGTTTGCAGTCTTAGTCCCATATATGCTACTATACGTAGTTTGAAAGTTTTAAGTGCACGACAAAACTTTTTAGGCTGAACACGGTCAATCTGGCTCTTGTAAAACACATTCTTCCAGACGCCTCACCTTCAAATGCTGCTATCTGTAGCTTGCAAGTGAAGTGCACCAGAAAATTTCTAAGCTGAACTTAAGTTAACCGGCTTCTGTGCACTACCTTCTTCGATACACCTGACCCTCATATGTGTGTGGTTAATTGATTGCTAATTGCCACCTTTTATTAAAAAAATAAAGTTCACTTCTTTTTTCTTCTCTGCCGTTGCACCAATTGAAGAAGTAAAGAGGAATGGTACTCTTTTCTTACTACTTGCTACAAATAGTAGTGTGTGCGTTTAGATTGAAGATTATTCGGGGAAAAAATTAGAATAATATTGTAGCATTTTTTTTATGACGTGATAATAAGGTAATAGTGAATTTGAATTGGTAAATTACAATTTTGTTAAGAAAGTCTCCGTCCATGACTTTTCACAACGACAGGGTCCCCCTCGAGCCTCGTACTTACTTACTGATTGCCTGTGTTATATGGCAGTGACTCCAATAAATTCATGCGTACTGTGGTCCAAGTACCGAACTTTGACAAGTAACCTCTGAATTCAATGAAGTTCCCCTATGTTGAATAACCTCTCCATCATTACTTGGTAAAAAAAAAAAAATTTCCATCCATGCTTGATTAGTCTGTTTGTCTCCTCAACCAAAAGCATTTCTGGATTCAAGTTTGGTCAAAAAAACCATGCGAATTCCTATATATTTCTCAAAAGACTGACTAAATTTAGAAAGTGACGAACTAAAAATCCTTCTTGCTTTTCCTCTCAGAGTTCCTCCAAGCTTTTTCTTTGTGCTCCATGCACAGTTAGCCATGTTAGGCAGTCTTCTACTATTGCTGTTGTTCTGGTCGTCTGCTTTTTCATTTCCAGGAGCTTTTGCATATAGTCGGTTGACGAAGGGCTCATCTCTATCGGTCGAAAACCAAGAGGACGTTTTGATTTCTCCAAATGGTCTATTCACGGCTGGGTTCCACTCTGTTGGCATCAATGCTTACTCTTTTGCAATTTGGTTTACTGAAAAGCTAAGTAATCGCACTATAGTGTGGATGGCTAACCGAGACCACCCTGTAAATGGAAAACACTCGAAGCTCACTCTACTCAAGGATGGTAATCTCATCTTAACTGATGCCAGTAAGTTCATTTCTTGGGCGACTAACACAGCTTCAGCTTCTTTTGTTCAGATACTCCTTCAAAACACTGGAAACCTTGTCCTGACAGAAAAGGATAATGTTCTGTGGCAGAGTTTTGATGTTCCTACGGACACTCTTCTCCCGGGACAACCTTTAACTAGGTACACAAGGCTAATTTCATCAAGGAGCCAAAATAATTACTCTTCAGGTTTCTATAAACTTTTCTTTGATGATGATAATGTCCTACGTCTGGTTTTCGATGGCCCTGAGACATCTAGCATCTATTGGCCTGACCCTTGGTTGTTAAGCTTTGAAGCCGGAAGAACAAGGTACAATGACAGCAGGGTTGCGGTACTCGATTCATGGGGTCACTTCCAATCATCTGATCGAGTTGGGTTCAGCGCTAATGATTTTGGTCCTGGCATACAGAGAAGGTTGACCCTTGATTTTGATGGTAACTTTCGTTTATACAGCCTTGATACCACTACAAGGAGTTGGATTGCTTCATGGGAAGCTATGATTGGATCATGCAGGATTCATGGTGCTTGTGGTCCCAACAGTTTGTGCAGCCATTATCCTAGTAGTGGCAGAAAGTGTTCTTGTCTTCAAGGATACAGAGTTAAAAATTACACTGACTGGGCTTATGGATGTGAGCCTGAGTATCAGCTGCCATGCAACAGCAGAGAGGTCACATACATCAAGCTTTCTCATGTTAATTTCTATGGATATAATATTGACATTTTGCACAACAGTACATTGGAAAAATGTGAGAAGATATGCAATGAATCACGCAAGTGCAAAGGATTCCAGTACAGATTCAACAAGGAAAACGGAGTGTATGATTGTTATCCTAAAAGCGCTTTTCGTAATGGATTTATATCGCCTACTTACAGTGGAATGCTTCATTTGAAACAGCCTAAGGCCATTGCACTCGCCACTGACCAGCCAGCAAAAATATCCAGCTTAATTTGCTCAAGTTCAAGCATTGTAACATTGAACAGGACTTACAAGAAGAAAGGTGAGAGGGAATCAGTAAGAATTCTGCTCTGGTTTGTCCCTGCTCTGGGATTGCTTGAGATGATCTGCATTGTTTCAGTATGGTTTTTCTTGTATAGATCTCGCAGGACCTCAGATAAGCAACCTTACGTGCATTTGTCAACAGGATTCAGAAAATACTCCTTTAGTGAGCTAAAGAAAGCTACTAAAAATTTTGGTGAAGAGATAGGACGAGGGGGTAGTGGGATAGTGTATAAAGGTGTGCTGTTGGATCATCGTGTGGCAGCAGTTAAGCGACTCAAGGAAGCTAACCAAGATGGAGCAGAATTTTTAGCAGAGTTGAGCATTATTGGGAGGCTTAACCACATGCACTTGATAGATATATGGGGATACTGTGCAGAGGGAAAACACCGGCTTTTGGTGTATGAGTACTTGGAACACGGTTCATTAGCCGAAAACTTGCATTGTACTGTGATTGACTCGAAGATGAGGTTTGAAATTGCTCTAGGCACTGCAAAAGGCCTTGCTTATTTACACGAAGAGTGCTTGGAGTGGGTTTTGCACTGTGATATAAAGCCTCAGAATGTACTTTTGGACTCCAACTACCACCCAAAGCTAGCAGATTTTGGACTTTCAAAGCTATTGAGGAGAGCTGAGGTTAATGATTTGAGCTTTTCAAAGATCAGGGGAACCAGAGGCTACATGGCTCCTGAATGGATTGGCAATCTTCCCATCACTTCACAAGTTGATGTTTACAGTTACGGAGTGGTCCTGCTGGAGATGGTGACTGGAAAGAGCCCCAAAATGCACGTTCAAACATTTGGTGTCGGAGGAGAAATGGTCGAGAAAACATTGATTGAGTGGGTTAGGGAAATAGTAAAGGGAGATGGTGAAATTACAGCCTGGATTGATGAAATATTAGACCCCCTGCTGGACAATACTCAATGTGATAAAGGAAAAATGGCATTACTAGTTAGGGTTGCTTTACATTGTGTTGAGGAAGATAGAAAAGTTAGGCCAACCATGAGACAGGTTGTAGAGATGCTTCTCCACTAAAAAAAACTGTTTGTAGCAATATTCCTCCAGTGTTATGAATGACAAGCTAGACAGAAATGATATCCAATTTTGAAGTTGATTTGTAATTTGTTAAGTACAGAGCAATAAAATTGAAAAAGATTTAATGAGCGAGAAAGCAACAGCATGCAAGTTCAATCCGTAAGTGTGAAAACTAATGACCAATAGAAAACCGTATTTATACCAAAACTTTCATTTTCATGGCTTGCAAGGGACACACATTTTGGAATTTGTTCTCCAGTTATTTCAGCTTTTGACGAATAACCTTTACAACAATAATTACATTTGATGGAGTGTAAGGTAATAACAAATGAAGAAAGGGATAAGAACGGAAACCAACTAATCCAGTTAAACATGACTCCATTTGGGAAAGCTTGGCTGATATACAGCATACAACGCGCACAGAGCACTGTCATCTCCCACAATACTTCACCTGGAACTCCAAAATATCTCAATACCCTT